TAATTGTCTTTTCGCTCCGTGCAAGTTTTTCAGATTGAACTGCAGATTGAACTATGAACTATGAATCTGGTGATCTTTGTAAGTTGCCTAAAATTGAGGCTGATGTTGTAAAGAATAGAGTTAGAATTTTAATCTTTGACCTGTTTGAGTTGTTGAGGTGTGATGGAGAGACATGCTGCATTACTGCATTCCCTCTGATGATGGAGCCACAACAGAAATTTTATACTGGTTGCCTTCAAGTACCACAAAAAAAAAAAAAAGGATAAAGGACACGTATTTTATCACCTGGTGTTGAGATCCTTAAATCAAAATTCAGCACATGGTTACATGCTAAGAAAAGAGTGGTTTAAAACATTTACAGAAATTGAATAAATACAAAACAACACAGTAATAATAAGAAATATTGAATTTACATAAAGTATGTCAAGTCTTTGTTTTACAGTTTTGGACAAAGTAATAAAATGATACCTCCCACATTTTGTTATTGCTATCTTTCTGTTCACCATTTTTTGTAAACATTAGCTATATATTTTGCTGCTCTATACCTTTAAAGTAAATGTTAGACCTCCAGCACAGCTTTTTATTTACTGCACACAGAAACTGTTAGTGCTTGGTGAAATGAAAATCTAAAGTAAATTATTTTCAAATATTCCCTTTATTGTTTAATAAAGTGTGCTATTGTGCAAAATGCAGAAATCAAATCTAATAACAGCTGACTAATAGAAAACAATAAACATACCCTTTTAGGTCCATAATGAAATCCTGCAATTGCTTTTAATAAGAACTTAGCTGAAGACTCTGGTTTAGTAAACTATGAATTTATCACAGTCTTGGTTCTGGTAAGTTCTCTTTTAAACATTCAGTTTAACTTTGCTCCATGTTTTCTAGTTTTATTGGTTTAATTCTTATTTTGTTGTGTTTTCTGGATATATTTGAGTTCTAAAGTTTTTATTTGTTGCCCTCTTATGTTAGTCTTATTTTCCCTAGCTCCTTTGACTGCTATCTTAACACCTGCTCCAAATCTGCTCGTTAGTCCTCTCTTTGTTCAGTCTCACATAAATACTCTCCGGGTGTGTACAGTTCCTCAGTGCTGGTTCCTCGTCTAACGTTGTCCAACACCGTCTTTCTGTGTCTTACCTTGTCATGATTGTTTTCTCTTCAAATCTCCATGGTTCCTTGTTTGTTTTACTTTTTTCTTGTTGGATTTTTGGATTCCTGCCTCAGGCGTTTGTTTACCTTTCATTAAATCTACTAAAACTCACCTCTGCCTCCTGCCTCTGCATTTGGGTCCTCAAACCACAACCAAACCCTGACAGAATTACTGTAATTCCTGTGATCAACTCCAGCAGATAAATAAAAGGCCAATGTATTTTAAATGCTGAATGAAATTATTAAATAAAAATCCACAAGTCTTGTTGAGAGTATTTTTGTATTAAAGAGATACAGTAGCTTTTTTTGTTGACAGGAGACATGCTAGCAGAACTCCTTCAACAGCACATCCCAGTAGCAGTTTTCACATATACGCAACAAAAAGAGTATATGACAATTTCAGTTACCTGTTATGCTTAATCACTACTTAAAGTATAATTCAGGGGTCTTTAATGCTTTCTAGGCCAAGGACCCCCAAACTGATGGCCCCTGATTATATATAGTAGGAAATTGTGTTATATCAAACTGATCCTATAGTCACTCTATTACAGATGGAGTCATGTAATGAAAGTAATTTCTCCCTTGGATTATTAAAGTATTTCTGATTGTGATTCCTGGTTGATGGGACAGGTGTTGTGAATGAAACTGTGTCCAGCTTGATAGAGTTCCTGTGTGTCGCTGAATGTGTGCATTGATGACTGAAAGACATCTTCTGCCTAAATGTATCTGTTTACTACAGTGTTTTGAATTCATGTTAATGTGGATTTAAAGACATTTCAATTAGTGGAAAGAATTGCAGGGAGAAATATATATATATAAAAAAGTCTAATCAACCAAAACTTTCGCAGGCCCCCATGCAGTAACTCCGTAGACCCACTAGAGGTCGCAGATCTCCTGTTAAAGTCATCTGGTATAATTCATTCACTAGCATTTTATTTACAACTTCTATCTCGGAAAGAAAAAAAATAAGACAAATAAATAATTTAATTCTATAGTTTGTTTGTTTATCAATATAACACATTACACAAATATTCCTCCAAAAACTGTCTTTTTAAACTACTAAAAACTGGTTTTCCTGTTGGAGTAGTGAGATTTCCAACAGCGCTAGAATGCACCATAGAAGCAGCAGCCGCCTGTTGCTCCATCCAGTAAAAAACCCGCAGCTCATTTACAGTCTGCCTGTAACGATAGCTGTGTTGCTGTTTTTTGAGCTCTTCGTTTTATTGATAAAAGCTGCTGGAAACAATGCAGTTATCTGCATTTCAAAGAACAGTTTGAAATGGAGAAAACCTTCCCAGAAGATGACTGCGTGGATTCAGGAGCAGAGACAGGGGGGTGAGTTTAAAAGCAGCATTTCTAACCCTTCTGACTCAAATCACACTGTGTTTACATTTTGAGTCACACATAGGCTTGTTTACAACTTAAAAAACCCATATAGGGAGGAATTTGAAAATAATAATAATGGAGGTGGCGCATTATCAAAGTGAGCAAAAATGTTTTATTTTGTATCCAAATAAGGAAGGCAGCTATAGAATCAAAGCATATTTTGTGCAAAATAAAAATTACAGTTCCAATATGAGAATATGTCAGTATTATAATTTAAAAAGACAGTTATAATTTTAATTTTTAAAAGTGGAGAAAGTTTAAGTTGAGTTATTGTTATTTACTTTATTTCAGCTGTTAAGCAGAGATGTGCCTCCCCTTCTCCTGTGGTATGTTCATATTAGTGATGATCTGTTAATATGATTGTGTTATAGAATAGTATAGATTAGAGTTTTGTTGTTGTTTTAGAAAAGACAGACCTCTATATATAATTCTTTTAATTAAATGTGCATATTTTTGCATTCCTTTTCATTCTTCTCAAGTTTAAACCCCAAATATGCTTCTTTAATTAATTATGTCCCTAACCATGAATAATATTAATAATAATAAAATGCAATTAGTTCCAAAAAATCTGGTAAAAAGGGGTTAAATTCCATTTTCAGTGGAAAAAAATGTGAAAACATTGTAGATATAGACACAGTTTCTTAGCCTATGAATCAATATAATTGACTAAGTAGAATGAAATGCAATATATAATGCTTGCAGCGAGTAGAGCTAAAATTGGAGAAATTATCTTCACAGAGAAAATTGTACACATAAGATCCACTTCCTCTACATACAACGGTCTTAAAAAAAAATGTAAATATGTAATATTTAGACACATTTTAAAAGCAGAGGAATTTTACTGTCCTTCAGTAATCAAACAAAACAGTTAAAAAGGCATCCTCAGAAGATTTATTGTTGTCTTTAAATAATTGTTTTGCGTTGTTATAAAATAACTAAATAGGTTAAAATCAGTAGAAGGGTTGTTGAACCTGTGTATGTCATTATGTCCTTGATTAATTGGCTTTCTAAGGATGTTTGTTTACTTTAATTAGCTGTAATCTAGGTCACAAGTGGCTTTAGGGGGTCAGAGGTCAAAGCTTTGGATGGAAGACCTCAAATGCACTGAACTTATGATTCAACATTTGACTTTGTGTCTGTCTGTTGTAAATATTTATGCTCCATGCAGTTAAAAGTCAAACAGACAACAATATGTTTATTATAAACAAAGGGTGCTTTATTTTTAAAAGTAAAAAGGGTGGTTTAAAAACAAAACTGCGCTATGCCTGTGAAGAGTCATCAAGGTCATAATCATTTCAAAAAAATACAC